GGAAAGCTGAAGCTAATGAGCTAACGAGCTAACGAGTCGGACCCGGACGCCAGTGGACTTTGAGCTCTGAATCGTTAGCTGCTCTGTGAGTTTACAGTTCACAACAATCAGTGTAAAGCAGCGAACGCTCCGCCATTACGAAATCATCTTCCCCTTATTCGACAAGTTCCAACGTCACAGAATTTCCTTATAGCATATAATATACGGTATAAATATTGTACAAAACCGGAACGCCAGCCTCTGCTGGGTAGTTGAAGTCGATATTTATCTTTTTTTTGTTTTTTTCTTTGTTTTTTTTTGGGAGAATCCTGGACAGAGATGCTGGGATTGGGGCAGTGGATGCTACATCCGTATGCAAAAGAGCCCACGTGTGAATGTACGTCTGTGTGTGAAAGAGAAAAACCACTTCATGTGTTCTGAGTTTGTGCTGCTTGTTTTTTTTTGTTTTTTTTGTTTGTTTTTTTGTTGTTTTTTTTTTCCCTTACAAGGGAAATTCCGCCATCAAAGGGACCAAGTCAGCTGGTGCGACTTCCAGCCAATGGGATCCCAGCTCTGTGAGCACGTCACACTCCTGTGAGATTCCTTCATCCCACTGCTCGACAGCCATACGACTATTGTAACATGCAGTACAGTTTCTGATGTGTACAGCCATTCTTATCTAAAAAACCTGTTGTCTAAAGACCCCCCCTGCCTGTCTCTGAAGTGTTCGCTCAAAAGCAAACCAAGCAAGAGCACAAAATCCTTCTCGTCTTCTGTCATCATTTACTCATTTGCCTTGTTTTTTTTGTTTTATTTTGGTCAAACGGACGTTTCTATTCGTCCGAATTTAAGCTGCTCTCATCATCAACAATCATCGTGACATACTGTGAAAGAAGAAGGCATCAAACAGGCAGGAATATATGTACCAGAAATGGTTGAAAAGCATCCGATCCCATTCAGTTTTACCACCCTCACGGTCTCATTTTTTATCAGAGTGAGGAAAGAACCATTTCTGGTCAGTTTCAGACTTCTGGGATCAATCATTTTTCTTGTTTACTGCATCCTGTCTGTAATCGGAGGAACGTGGAAGTTAAAGTAATCCCTCACCATCATCAGACACACAGAGACAATGCTGCTATGACCACAATATAATTGTGGCTAATGTTAGCAAAGGCAGACTGTTGTGTAACTGACCTAATTGGCGTTACCGGTTCATCTGTCGGCTTCGCCTCTTCTCTGCTCGTCCTGGTTTTGCATTTACAGTATTTCTGTACTTGTCACTGCAGTGGCCCCAGCTAAGTAAAAACTATAAACAGTTACTGAAGTGATGAGTGTTTGAATACGGTTTTTTTAAGTCTGAAAAACATATTTTTGCTGTATTTGGCTCCTCGTGACAGTCATTTTCCCTTAAGTGGCATTTTGTGGACAAGGTTGATTTGAATCCACTCAAAAGAAACAACTAGGAACTTATGACTTTTATTCAGCCTAATGTAATTGATATTAAACAGTCTTGATAAAAAATAAATAAAAAACAGTGGGTCTAATTTAAGAATGTCGGTACCTACAAGTCTGCTCAGTTTTTAGGTGCTGTTGGATCTGTTAAAGAAGTTCCTCATATCAGGGTTTATGTCTGTAGAGGAGACATGTCCTTTTGGTTTCTTAAAATTTTCTGAAGCATATAGTTCCATACATCTTATCGAGTATTAGCATAAATATTGTTTTTAAATTAACTTTTTTTTGTTTAGAGTTATAATGATTGGAGTTAAATCACCCCCAGTATAATTAAAGAAAGTAAACTTTATATAGCACCTTTCACACATCACAAAGTGCTTTACAGTCAAGTATATAAGAATAAAAAAACATTAGCGATTTAAAAACATGAATAAAGGACAATGACAAAAAAAGGAGGTAAGAAAAACTTTATATCTGGTTCCAAAAGTGTTTACGTTTTAGATACAGTACTTGAAACTGTAATTTAACTACATTCAAAATAAATGTTTCATTTAATCGTTTGCGTCTTGGAAACAAAAATAAAGTCTGATATTTCACTTCAGGCGGTACAGATTTTCTCAAATTAAAAACCAGTGGGCAGCTGTGTCCCATCCCATGTCCCTCTGTTTCAAAACAGCTGAAAAAGAAGTGGACGGACTGCCTCAAACACTCCTCTAGAACATTTTCCATCATGAATGCATGCATATCGACATGATTGGTCATAATGTCAAACAGGTTTGTCGAGCTTCTTTTTATTTGTGAGATTCCTCTAGCAAGAAACAGCAAATGTGTGACCTTTTATATCCCAAAGACCTCTGAATTCCCCTTTAGATTAATGAAAAACTGCATAAGAGGTGTTTACAACTCCTTGTATTTAACTGGATGTTGTTATTGTACGTAATGATGCTATTATTCATCTTATGCATGTTTTTTTTTTTGTTTTACATCACTTTTTATGCAGGCAGGTGGGGGAGGGATAATAGTTTGGCTGGAAAAGTAGTCGGTAAACAAAGACACAAAGTTGGGCAAACAATAGAACATTGTAAAGAAATCACGAGGCTTCATTATAGCGTCCCAAAAAAATTCCTGTTTCCCCACTCAACCAAGAGCCTCTAAAACCTACTGCCTTTCAGAGCAAATAATAAATATATATATTTACATATATATATATATAAATAAATATATATAATTTTTTTATATATATAAATAAATATATAAAGGTATATATATTTTTATATATATATATTTAACTCTTTCCGTCACGGACTGGTTTTCAATTTAAGTGAAACAGGAGTGTCACGAGAACCTCACATTTGCAACCAATTCGGATCCTTTTCTAAAAATAAAGGTGGACTAATTGATTAGAAATGACTCCGGGAGGGCATAGGTCACGTGGTCTACCTATCTGACGACGCATGCGCAGAGCGTCACACCGTCAACGGTTGACGCTGCTGCTGCCACCGGCAGAGAGAGTCGGCCTCCCGTTACCGTTCCGCCACGGAAACCTCCCCAAAACCGCCATGTCGGGCTTTGACAGCAACCCCTTCGCGGACCCGGTGGACGTGAACCCCTTCCAGGTGCGTTTGTGTGTCCGGGTTGTGTTGTTTTGTCGGGAAACGTAAGGCTGAAGGGAGATACGTCGCGACCCAAACCAAACCTGTTTGGTCGGTTGCTGGGTTTGGCCTCTCCGTTTCCTGGCTAATATCAGCTAGTTATGACACGTATTAGCCTTTTCAGATGTTTTCCTCCTTTTTTTGAAGCATTCACAATAAGCTCAGCTCGGTTGTGTGTGTTTCCGGCTCACCTGCACAGGTGAGCGGACACACAACAGGTGCTTTCTGCTCCTCATCCTCATGCCAAGCCTTCAGATCAGTCCCTTTTATTCGTAATGCCCCTTTAAACTTTAATTCCGGCTTGATTTTGGTTTATTTATTCATTCCGTTATTTATAACCGTGAAATAAAACCGATTTACTTCTTTTTTGTGACACATGAACCTAATTATAGGCGCTGTTTACAAGATTAAACACAACAAATGGTGCTTTGAGATAGACAAATAGTCAATGGCCACATGTTTTTTTTTAGTTTCTATCTGGTTAACCCTATAATGCCAAATGTTTAAAAATGTAATTATTGACATTATCACCACCACTTATTTAGACCTATATATATATATATATATGCATATAGTTATTTATGTATATATTTATCTATATTATATATGGAATTCTGTATATATATATATGCTGTTGTTTTATTTATGGAGCCAGTTACAAAAATAATTTCCCTCTGGGACTATTAAAGTATTTCTGATTCTGATGTGTCATATCTGATCCGGTTTCTTTTGGATCTGAGACTTTTTGCATCATTCAGTGGTAAAAGCTTTGCTCAAACCCCTGTTGTACACATTCAGATATACCTGATAACAGCCAGTAGAAGACTACACCAAAATACATTTTTGACTTATTGCACGCTAATTTGATCAAAATAATTTCTGTTTTCTTTTCTTCACATGTTGTTGAGGGGCCAAAGAAAGATTTCAGACAAAAAAAATACAATATTCTTCTATTTTTCTTGGATCAGGCTTTAAAGGGTTAATGTGGTTAATGACGTTTTGCCTTCTCTCTCCCCTTTTCAGGACGCCTCGGTCACTCAGGTGACCAGCAGAGGGGAGGACACCGTCGGGGAGTTCAACCCTTTCTCTGCAGCTACAGGGGTGAGGGTCTGTGTTTGGTACTGTCACCTGTTGGTGTTTCACCACTCAGAGATCAGAGGTTTATGAAGGTCCCCCCTTTAATCCCCTCATAGGGAAACCACTCGGGGACGACCATCCCCGTCTCCACCACGTCCTCACAGCCCGCCATCCTGCACACCTCTGTGGAGCAGAGCACTCAGGTGGGTCAGACTGGGTTTAAATCATTAAACTAGTTACTCGTATTCATGTCAAACCCTTTTAAGAGTTGACAGGATGCACACGCTGATGATAAAACGTCCTGAAAATGGAAGAGGACTTTTAAACTATGTGTGAGGATGTAACCGACATGAACCCTCAGTTACATTAAAATAGCTAAAATGTCTTTGCGTGGTGGAAGTATGAGGGGTCTCAATCCAAGTAGTGTTTATTTCCCTCTGTGACAACAGACAGGGTAGATAATGAGGCAGACTGGAAGGGTCGAATGGATGTGACACATCAGAAACCAGTAGAAATAACAGAAATAATATAACGCATAAACAACATTAAACGATTCGTCACACAGAGAAAAAATAAACACTTCTCACCCCATTAGGCAACCATTAACCCATCCCAATACTATTCACATTATGGCTCACATATTTAGTGAAGTTCACAAAAAGAAACTAAATAAAGTGTCAGGCTGGGTTTTAAATCATTAAACTAGTCACTTTTAAGAGTCGACAGGAATCAGATGCTGATGATAAAACGTCCTGAAAATAGAAGATGCCTTTTAAACTATTTGCTCAGACAAGGTGCATGTATTCAACTCTGATGTCGGAGGTTGGGATTATAGTCACTGAAATTCAGTTTTGTTTAAGGTTTTTACTAAAAAATAAATTAAATTAAAGTGAAAGTTGCTCTAAATTTTATTTATCTGGATGTCTTCTTGTCAAATAAAACCCTGAAATAAATTCAAGAGGCAGTTGTAGTGATGCAAAGCCAGTTTTGGCCGATTTTGTTTTATTTTTTAGTGCTAAGTTTTGATGTTGAGTCTTGGGTTTGGTCCTTTAGGCGACGGCAGCGGCTGCCCAGGCGAACCTGATAAAACAGCAGGAGGAGCTGGAGAGGAAAGCAGCCGAACTGGAGCGAAAGGAGCAGGAGCTCCAAAAGAACTTAACTTCCTCAGCGCTCTTTAATGTGCGCAATCCACACAACCCCACCCCCCACACACACACACACACACACACACACACACCCCACACACACGGCTGCCTGGGGAAGGAGCTCTGTTTGTGTGTCTGGAGATGACCAGAAAAGTCAAGTCAAAGTCAAGTCAAATTTTATTTATAGAGCACATTTAAAATAACCAAAGTTTCCAAAGTTATGTACAGGTAAAAATAAACATAAAAAGCTAACATAATTTACATACATACAGTGGGGGAAATAAGTATTTGACCCCTTGCTGATTTTGCCGGTTTGCCCACTTACAAAGAATGCAACAATCTATAACTTTAATCATATGTACATTCTAACAGTGAAAGACAGAATCCCAAAGAA